AACTGACAGTTTGAATGAAGCACAACTTTTCTACGCATACAAAATAAATAACACAACCCGGAACTAATAATAATTCCTAACTGTTTATGCAAATTCCTTTACTAAATGAATATGAGCTGATACCGAAGAAATTTACCACCCGTTTACATTGTGTTGATATAACTGAGAAAAAAAGATTAAATTTATCTTTACTGCATAAGTAAAAGCTCGTGAGAACAAATCTTATCAGAAAGAAATGTATTCGAATGAAAACACTACAGTTTGTTAAAACAAGAATCAATTCATGGATAATCCCCATTCAGACATCAACGAAAACAAAACACATAGATCAGCGAAGAGATTCTTCTCGGCGAATTCATTATCTCAGCTGTACAATCGCAAATATATGTGTGTTCTCTTGTATGTATGTGTACATTAAGTTTGTCAGACAAAAATACAATCAGTTATGGTTATTTTAACTAAACAGGTGAAGATTGGTAATACAAGTCAAGAAAATTAGGTGTTAATGAAATTAGGGTAGTAACAAAGGTGATAGGTTGTCACAAACAGTTGTTAAAAGAAGTTATGTAATAATATGAATAGTTTGATGAGTGAGTTTTACTCAAAATGCACATAGAAACAAAGTAGATAATACGAAACCACGTGAGAGGTTTGAACGAATACAAGAATTATAAGCAATTAAAGAACAGGTAAAGAAACAAAATTAATTCATCAAAATAAAAATAAAAAACTCAAATCAAATCAGAACAAAAACGTTGTTACCATGACAGTAGAAGTGGTTGAGTAATCTTCTTTTGTATGCACAGCTCCGGTTTTTCTATGTGAATGGTCAGAGCTTCAGCGATACAAGGATGACAAAACCGTATTGCCTTTGGTAGGTTATTCGTGACTCTGTAGATTACTTTGAAGCAGGAGGCGTTTGTTGAGATGGAATGATCATTGTTAACCAGGTGTTCAATTATCGCACTCTTTATTGCACCACTATTGCCTTTTCGCAGACATGCTCGATAGTGTTCTTGAATCCTCTTGGACAGGGTGCGCGTAATTTCGTATTATCTACTTTGTTTCTATGTGCATTTTGAGTAAAACTCACTCATCAAACTATTCATATTATTACATAACTTCTTTTAACAACTGTTTGTGACAACCTATCACCTTTGTTACTACCCTAATTTCATTAACACCTAATTTTCTTGACTTGTATTACCAATCTTCACCTGTTTAGTTAAAATAACCATAACTGATTGTATTTTTGTCTGACAAACTTAATGTACACATACATACAAGAGAACACACATATATTTGCGATTGTACAGCTAAGAAAATGAATTCGCTGAGAAGAGACTCTTCGCTGATCTACGTGTTTTGTTTTCATTAAAAAAAGAATCCCCATTTTGTACCACAATTATCCTAAAGATGTGAAAGTCTATGCATATATTCTTTTAATTTAAGCGTTTCATAAAATATGAATGACAATAATTTGTTGTTAATATTAGATGGTTGGAGGCAATCGGCAGGAAGCCTTGGCTACACCTAGGTTTCGTGCTAGCTGGCACTCTTCAGCTCAGTAATATCGTCCACGACTGCAGAACTCTCTGGGTGATGACGATTCAAATCTCAGAAAGGACATGAGTTCCTTCAAGATTGTAGATATGCCTTGCTGACTGGTGAGTGCCAACTAGCAAGAAACCTAGGTTGAAGGTTTTCTGCCAATTGCTTACAACCATATAAAAGCAACAGTTCAAAACACATCGTGACGACGAGCCACCTAGGATGGTGTCCACACTGAAAACTTGACTCATAGAAGGCAATATGCAGTAAACAAAGGACTAGATATATTACACTAATTACTAACTAGTGGCTAATCTATGATTTGATGTCAGCTTCGTATATCAAGTGTTGTTTTGCAAGGATTTGATGAGTTACAGGTTTGATCACGAGTTGAAATCAGTTAGAAAGCCACTGGAAAACCTGAGAGTACTGGACATATGTTTCGTCCTAGCTGGAGACTGTTCAACAGTAAGCACCCACTGGCTTTATACAGGAAGTTAACTGTAATTCTTATGAGAAGTCGTAACCAGCAGGCTCCACCAAGTCGCCTATGACATTCACTGGCAGTTGCTCTCTCTCCATATATATATATATATAGCAAATCGGCAGACATTTTTGTCTGTGGACTGATGGATCTGATCCCAACGGCTGAACGATTTACGAGCTCGCTTTGTAACCGGAAAGTCGCGGATTTGAACCCCAATGGTGAGTGCATACTGTTGAAGAATTACCGACTAGGACAAAACTATTGTCTAGTATTCCTGGATTTTCCAGCAATTCTCTAACTCACGTCAACTCATAGTCAATCTCATTCAGCGCAACTCCATATGTTGCATTTTATCATTCTACTGATTCACAACGAAGTATCTGATCAGCAGGCTGGTAATCAGAGACACTAGACATAACCCCTAAATGATTTACTAAAGTTAACGTTCTTCATAAAAGACAAAGTCAAAAGTTTTATCACGAGTAATATACAGGTCCCAACAAATTCAACCAATCAGAATGCCCATTTCCTCATTCATTTCAAGCATTTTTGTAATAGTCAATATCTAGTAGCACTGTTGCCTACCCTATACTTCACACTCTTCAATAGATTCATATGCTAAGGCACCTTACATTACTTCCTATTCCTCATAAAATGTATGTCTTAAATATTTAAAGATGCATATAATGTCGTTGCTTCTATAGTCTTTGGTAGACACACTACACTGTCACACGAGGGTGGATACTAAACACAGTCATGTAGGCCCTTTGTATATATGCTTATATCTACCAAATATCATATAACTTCTTATTTAATTATTATTATATAATAATTTATGAAACAATGATCCCTAAGAATAGATAAATTAATTGCGTTGGAAAATCGTGAAACAGACAAGTCCATTGGACTAACTGGAATACTAATCATAGTAATGATGTCGTACGATAATTACAAGGAGAGGGGAAAATCATTTGTAGGACTTTATACATATTATGTAGACGGTTGCCGCGAAGAAAAGGTCTGCATAAATTTCATTCAAACACTATTGAAATCAATACATGATATGTAAAATTCACCCTACCATGATCTAGCTAGATGATTAGGGATTATTCTCAAACCTTTGCATGAGAAGATGGTGAAACATACAGACAAACATGTATTTGAATTCGTAGACAAAATCAAAGATATTAATATCAACGTTAAAACTATGATATCTTTGGATATATAACATCTTTATTCACAAATGTACCTCTAGTAGAAACGGTTAACCAACTGTGTGAACAAGTTTATAATAAGTCGATAAATACTGGCATTCTAACGGAAATCCTAAAAGAATTGTCATTATAGATTTCAAATTTAATGGCCTACTTTGCAGACAAGTAGACGGGATGGTGATGGGTTTCCCATTGGACTGATTTCTTTCTAAGTAAACTAGAAAATGGACCTTTGGACAACCTTATCAGAAAATTCTCACTTTATTGCAAGTATGTGGATGACACCTTTATTTGTTGTGATAATCAACCAGACGGGAACACAGTAATAATAACTGAATTCAAAGAAGTACATTCTGCCATGAAATTGACACGCGAAGGGGGATCCCAAAATAGGATTGCCTTCCTAGATGTCCTACTCACAAGAAAACCAGATGGCAGTGTAAACAGAAATTTTCATAGGAAAAGCACATGGACAGGATAATATACACATTTCCATAGTTTTGTTCCTCTCCAGTACAAAAGAAATTTAATAAGGATCCTTGGCCACAGGGGTAGAGCTATATGCTCAGAAGAAGTAACTGAAGACGAACTAAGGATTATATATAATACCCTAAATGAAAATAGCTACCCAGACAAATTCATCAGGAAACATATGACTAAGAAAGTTGAAAAGGACTATTCACTATTCGTAAACAAGAACCCATTAAGGATATAACTGCAATTTAAGCGTGATATACCTAGCAAAATAATTACGAAGAAGTTAAGAAAATCAGTTCAAAGAACTTTTACTGCCGGTCTTATTTTCCACACGACCAGTTATGATTCCTTAATTCAAAGATGAAGTACTTAGACTAGCCACTTCAAATTGTATCCGCCAATTCATCTGCGCTTGTGGTGAAGCGAGTTGTATTGGCCGTTGCTCTAGGAACTTGATGTTTCGTACTTGGGAACATTTCTCAGTATAGCTAAATAAAGGCATAGTAAAAACCATCAACAGTCTGATATTGGACCACCTGGTCCGAATCGGCCACAAAGTCAGCATTAACGAGTCGTTCTGTATCATCTACCGGATACCAAATAAATCGCCAAAAACCCCAAGGTACCTCATACGCTATACAGCAGGGGCTATTGTGATTCGCCTGAAACAACCAGCGCTTTATGTGCAAAAGAAGCAAGCAATTCCAGCCACTATTGCTGCCATGGCATTCACTGGAGACCATGAATTAATGAATTTGTATTACTACCATTCCTAATTTTTCTGATATTCAGAGTATCTATTGCTATGTTGATACTATGAACCTGTTATCCATTGATATTTTTTAATTATCGATTGGATGTTAGTTAAACATTAATCTCACATTGTTAATATGCTATGATTGTTTCAATGTGCCACAGATTTTATTGCATATATTTGTCTTTTTCTTACCATTGGGACAGCTTCAGATCGCAAGTCACTAGAGGAACTTTGATTAGGTATTAGGCATTAATTGGTTCCCTGCATTTAAACCAGGATACTTCGGTTTCAGCTGTTACAGGCAATAAACAACAACCACAATGATAATAATAATAATAATAATAATGGTAATTTTGAGTGGAAAGGATTACTCAAATGCTAAAAGCAAAACAGAAACACAATATTTCGAAGGATAAGAAAATCAATTTTCATGTTCTTTCTCCTTTGCTTGAATTATTTACAAAATATTTATTAAATTATTCATAACAAAATATGAATTTGGGGGGTGAGGGGGAATAAAAGTCAAATATCATTGTATTCTTTGCATAAACCACTGCAATAAAATGCAACAACCACTCTATCTGTATTATTCTTGCATAGTGTTTCAAAATAAATTTACGCATGTATAAGTAGATGTCTTCTTACAAAACGTTTGATGATCAAAATATATGCGGATAATTTAGAGCAAAATCAATAGCGAATTTCGACTATCATAGTTGGATCCTTCTGTGATTGAGTAATCAAACAGACTTGTTAGTTTATTGATAATTTCATCCGCAAAAAACAATTCAGTCGACAGAAATAGCCTGGTTTTTCAGAATGACTGAATAGAATGCATAAAAGAAATATTAACTATGGACTTTAGCTTCATATCCATTTAATTTTTTCTCCAAATTGTGAATTTCTAATTTCAGCAAAGAGTTTGTATGTCTAGTCTGTTGTTCCGATTTTCTGATTTCATTTAATCTATAGTTTGAAGAAAATATATATATATATATGAGTTTTAAAACTCTCATTTGGTTGCTAAAAAATTTGAATTCGGCTAAAGTTTAGTGGAGAATCCAAAAGCCAGGACACACCTTCAATTATCTGAAATCAGTGGGAAGATCTATTGCACCAATCACAAACAACAAGTTTCAGATAGTCAACAGTAATGTCAAGTCAGTATTTGCTTCTATATAGTTCAAGGGTTTGGTACACGTACCATCAAAGGTACTTCGAACAAAATCTAAACTCCTATCAGCAGCTGCCGGCTTCCCAAGAATGATTAGCAGCAAAGAATCAATCAAGAATCTATTACCCGCTAAACAAGGCGAAAGAGGTGGAAGTGGGTTGGATTACACTGAGGAGACTGTCGAGTGACGCTGGATGCCAGACACAACCTCAAGTGGAAGGTGAGTAGGAAATGAAGAGTAGAATGTGAACCCGAGGGTAACATGGAGGAGGTTATGTGAGGAGATGAAATCCTATGGACAACTGTGGAGTCGGATAAAGTTTAGTGGAGTTAATGATTTTTTTCCCTTCACGTTCCCATTGGAACATAGGGCCTCAAGCTAGTGGCTTGAAGTTTCTGTAGCAGTGTTTAATTTTACAGGATGGGGTTGCTAGCCTCACGCCCGACCTTTCCACTTTACCAGCATTATTTGTGGCTTGGCGAGGTCTGGGAGTGCGTCGGCCGAGGATCGAACCCCGGACTATATGCATGGTCGGCAAGCGTCCTAACCGCTGTGCCACCGACGCACTGGAGATAAGTCTAAAGAAAACAAATTTTTCCACGTTTCCTTCTTCATCACCTACTGCAAGTCTGTGGAAGGTTATTAATAAGTTCACCTGTTTTTGAAGAGTTCCATTGGTGTACTTATCATCTCTAAATCTTCATTTGTGTATCTTCATTTTGTTGACATAATCACAAACTTTACAGATATTGTAACACCAAAGAATAACGGCTAGTGAAGAAGACGTTCTTCTCTAACTGACTGACGACTATGTTTTAACAGAGAATTTCGCACAGAAGTGCAACGCCTCGACTTTCCACACTCCATGTAGCACACAAAGGTAGACAAAATACAGAAACACTAAATTCAAAGGAAAAATAATGAGCAGAAATGTTGGTGAGAAAGAATAATAACATGGAAAAACATGACGGTTTAGTAGAAATGAAAGATTAACAGGAGTTACTGCATGTACGTCGTTGAGAACGGTTTTGACCCGTATGACCAATAATGTCCAGCAATTGGTTCTTAGCATCTCATGGATCTCAACCAGCCAGTCTACACCTCTCCTAGTGGCTGCCTTCAACAACTTGTCAAAGACTTCATGGACTGATCACAGATTTTCTTTGCTCACGCCTAACTCTTTTCCAAACTAGTTCTATGTCATCTAACAAGGTGGGTTGAGAAAAAATGAGTAACATGTCAGCCACATTGACTATACAGCCATCCTTAACCTGTGATCCTATATTACACTGAGCTATGGTGAACTTTGGTTTAATATTGCATCCTAGAAGAATCAGGCTGGAAATAAATCGTGAAGTAATGGTTGTCTACTTTGCAGAACATATAAATAATCTGAGGACATTAAACACCAGCCTAGTACATAAATTACAATTCTCTAGCCATTATTCATTACTATTAATATTTCCTTAGATTCTAAGTGAAAAACGAGGCTTCAATAGCCTATCTGCATTTTATCCACCCCTCTGAAGTCCTTTTTAGCCAGATACATGGATATCCAGAAGCTTAAATCTTCTCTTCACATGATCTTCTCCATGTCACATGCGGACTGACATCCAACTCGCCATTCCCCATTTAGGCCCGATCGAGAATCTGGCACATGATGTCATTCAACGGTCCCCTCAGCCTGTGTTCAGTGTATTTCCACTTCCTTCGTCATTTTCATTAAGAGCTAGGTTCTTCGTTAGTTCGTTGTACTGCAGAGTTCCCTGTCGCTTATCCTTTCTAGCCGGTCATCTGATCTTCAGAGGTGACTGAATTTTAGCCCTATTTATTGACTGTTTAGGTTTAGGTTTGTGCTCCCGAAGAGTCACGAGCTAAGACGAAACAGATGTCCACTGCTTCCTAATTTGTTGCTTCGAAACAAAGTCTAAAACGTGAAATTAATTTAAATCTCCACAAATTCCATAATATAAACATTGTGTTATGTAGGTGACCCAAATAATAGATAAGCTTGTAAAGTTGCTTAGACTAAGGTGCAGTGCATGCCAAATCACTACATTCATCGATCATTAATACTATCTGAAGTAGACTTAAGCTGGAAAACAGTTAGGATATTGGATAATTTAAAGTACAATTCCACACTTTTCTCTTTAGAAATAAGTTAAACCTACTGACTCAAAAGTTTTTCTCTTTCCTCTCTTAGCACACCTAATTCTTGTTGTGTAGCTTTTTGAATACGATATTTAAATTCAGTTAAATTCTTCTGTTGCTTTTCTTGTACTCGCTTCAGCGCTTCCAGATGATTTCTGCTTAATTCACTAGTATGCTTTTCATGATGTATAATTTCTAATCGACGACGACCATGACATTCAGATAACTTTTCATGCAGTTGAAAGGCAATTTCTAAAACACCATGAGTAAACTTATCCAATGTCAAAGGTCTAATTTGACTTGTTTCGATCGATAAAGGTTCCGCCAAATCGGTTTGAACAGATTTCTCAACCGTTATCATGTCATTTTTCTTGCAGTCTTCTAGTAAATTCTGAAATGAATCAAAATTGAGCAGTTGTCCATAACACAATAGGAGAAAGGGTTTAAAATTTAATAAGGTTAGAATTGTTTTTAAATGAAAAGCAAGGTGGTCAACTTTCCACTTAGCAAGTGGGAAGAGCTAGTTACACTGGCCGCATAAATTGGAAACCTTCCTAACGCATCTCCTAACATAATCTGGATACCCCAATTTAATAGTTGGGTTTTAAAAATTTTTTTTTTTTATTAAAAAATTTAAAAGGAAAAAACCGGAAATATAAGAAGAAAAATTTGAAAAAAACTAAAAAAGTCCCAAAGTAAAAAAAAACAAAAATTTGGGATTTCCTACCAATTTTAAAAAAAGGAATAAATTTGATAATTACTAGATGGAACTCCTTTTGGGGTGCCTTCAAGAGACAGAAACATAAAAAGACAGAGAGGATTTGCGATTTTAATCAAAAAAGAGAGAGGCGAAACCAAAATGTAGAGGAGGGAGAGAGAGTAGTAATATAAGAAGGGTGGGACCAACCCCAACAACACAAACAATACCAAAAAGAAGAAGAAATAAGAAAACTTCCTTTGTGGGGTTACTTGTACAGGGTGGAGAAAACCAGACAAGGACACCTTCTTAATGGGAAAAAAGATTCCAAATTAAAACAACCGGTTTAACAAAAAATTTTCCTTTTTTTAATTTTGGACCAAAAATTCAAAGGATTTTTTTTACAGCGCCGGCCCCCAAAAAATTATTGGAAGAAACCAAAAGAAAACCCTGAAATCCGGAGAAAGGGAGGGTTGGAAAGGGAGACCTTGGGTATTAATAACAACCTTGGGAAGGGAAGGGAAAAAGAGGGAGTGGCCCCAAGGAGAGATTTTGGGGGGACCGGAATTTTGGGAACCAAGGGTTCAAGAAATGCTGAAGCCCCTTCCCAACCAAGGGAATGATGATAATAAACTGTATGCATAAACTGCCTAAGAAGTCCAGGTGTTGATGGCTTTAATGAAGCGTTTAACTATATGATATCTCTTCACTAACAACTCCATATTAGGTTAGCTTTTTTAATGTAACACACTGTGTTAATATCCCCAGCAAAATTTATTACTCATCATACAAGTAAGGTGATCAGTCACACTCTTTCATTTTGCGGACTGATACTTGATTTAACCGTTGATTAAATCTTCGATATACCTGAAATTCGTGTTACGTCACTTCTGTTGTACACAACAGATTTTGATTTGATGATCAAAATTTTTCACCTTTTTTCTCCACTCAACTACATCACTTCTCAGTAATGATACTTCTGTGGTGAGAGCTAGCTGCAAGGCGAAAATTGTAGGCAACAATTCACGTCAGTATTACGTACCGAATGGGGGTCAAGAGAAAAAACAATAACAAAGCTTAACCTAGAAGAGCCCATCAACCAATCACAGCAGACTTAACGTGTGCAAATATAATTCGCATATATATGGCTTAACTTTCTGAGAAACCCTCACAAGCAGTACAGAATAACCTTCGGCAAGAAAACAACCAATCATAAGACACTGCTTCTCTGCTAACAAAACGCCAACAACAATGCACATAAATATATATATATATGCTGATTTTCTCAATAAACTATCTATAGCCTGGTCCTTGTCTTCTGTTATTACAAAACTACAATTACATAAAATGACTAAAGGCAGAAGATTCACAAGGATTGGAGGTTTATGACTACAGTTGCTTTCTGCTATGAAATGAGTATCATTATTTACCATGTCATCAATAAGAAGCAGACAAACATGTTCACCACACCAATTATAGTAAAATGGGAAACACAACTAACAAATATTATTAATATGAAAATAGATAAACTTCAGATTATAGAATGAACAGTCGTTAAAACATTACTCAACTTTCTGTTTGTCCATTTCTTGTAATAACACATTGAAATTCGACTTGTAAGTGTGTGCTTTCTATAAAATGTTAAATTATTATCAATAGTATTATTGTAACTTTAGAGGTGATGTATTCATTAACTTGCCTTTTTAAGGGATAACATTTTCTTCGCCTGTCTCTCATTGATTAATTTTATTGTTTCAAAGTCCTGTTAATCATGAAATAGATCAAGTCACTGAAATTAAATCGATTACTTTATACCTCTTGAGTTAATTTAATTTCATTAGGTTTTATATTATCTGAAAGGGGAAAGATAAACAAATAACTGAAGGAAATCTGAAGAAGTCTACATTTGACGATAAAGCAAAGTGCAATTATCCAATTAAGGAGTTCTTAGAGAAGAAGATAAGTCATTGGCGGTTTACATCACTAAGTAATTGGGATCCCAAAGGTAACGCTCACCTTCTCGCCTATAGTTAAAGACTTTATCAATGCACCAAGAGATAAAGTCAAGGACAGTCATACTTCTCAGTGAGTATGTATTCGCTCAGTCAGTGAATTTGTAAGAATTACCCTATACCCCTTTAACAACAGCTGAATTGAAACATGTTCTCTACAAAACCCGATAACTGTAGTCTATATCTCTTTGTAAGCCCCAGATTTACACTGCCAAAATATCTTAGCTTAGTGGCCTGCTTAAACCACTGGGCTACCAAAATTTCCATCCATCAAAATGACTTACTAACTGACTGACTGGCTTCAACGTAGAATTTTGCACCGATGTACAGCAGTTCAAGTCACGACACTTCACTCAGCACACAAAGCAATAGCAGAAAGTAACAAAATACAAAACAGAGATATGAGGCAAAAAGAATAATAATTACGAAGAACATTATAGTTTTATTAAGTATTATAAGTCACAAGGAGTGGATGAGTCTGAGCCATAGAGGACGATGTCGAGCCATATCACTAATCGTCTCCAGCCCTCATCGGTGTTCACCGTCCCCAGGTCCCTAACCAGTCAGGAAGTATACACCTATGTCCTGACGTGGCTGGCTGGCTGGCTTAAAATAACTGTTGTGCATTTCATTGACTGACGAAGCCATGTTTTGGTTTAACCGACACTAGCTGGCTCTTTTCCAACCTGATCCATCCTATATCAGCTAACATTGCCTGTTGTCGAGGAAGGCGATGGCTAGACATGCATGCGTAACACATGTCCTAACCATCCCAGTCGATGTAACTTCACAGCCTCACCTATTCATGTCCCCTATTTACCTAGCGCTCGATCTACGCCTAACCTCAATACTGCTCACCATATTATACTATTTCACACGGGAGATAGCACGCAGGCACATGTGATCAAAGACAGCTAGTCTGCCTTTTGATGTCTTCTACTTTCAGTGGCCAGATCTCATGGCCTTAAAGGAGGACAGAGCGGACTGCTGAGCAGTATACACGCCCTTTGATCGATAGCCGGATATCACGTCTTCGCCAGAGACAGCGTAAACTGGCATATGCGAACCTAACCTTATGTATCAGTGCTGAGAATTCGTCAGCGATCAACCCACTGGTGTTGGCTGATGCAACTTCCCAAATAAGTAAAGTGATAAACACGCTCTACCACCTCACTCCCTATCTCTAAGCTAAGACTTAAAATGCCTAAACTCTTTTGCATTTTCCATTGTTCTAATCATGTAGTTATATCAGATGACCACTGCTCGAATTCTCTGTATTACTTAACTATCTTCAAACTAAACTCTTTTCAATTCCTCAACGAAATGAAGAGAAAACTCAAAGAATTTTGTTCTCCCTTCATAAGTAAGAACGCTACGGCACATGACCTACTTCAGATTAATTTTCAAAAGTTGATTCCTAAGGATTAGATTTGTCTTTACGAGTTGATCACGGATTGATATAATTTAGAAAATCATTGAAAACCAGCGCTGGAGTACTGGACAGCTGTTTTATTCTAGTACCAGTACTCCCTGGTCTTCAGTGATCCCATAACTGATATCAATCCGTGGTTAAACTCGGTAAAACAAATCTAATCCTTACAAACTAAACTCTCGAAAATTAATCTGATGCTCGCTAGTGATTGGCTACAGGAGGAAGTTATCCGGAGTTCTAGTTAGAAGTCTTGATCAGTGAGGTCCATCCAGTCAGGTGTGAGGATGGATGTCCCACCGATGACATTGGTTGGTGGTCGCGCTAAATCACGAATTGGTAGAAGTTATGGGATGACCAGTGAATTGGGTCCAATCGGTTTAATGGTAACGAGATTGATTTGTAACGGGGAGGTCCTGGGTTCGAACCCCCTGTTGGGTGGGTGCACACTGAAGATGATTCCCAAACTAAGGGTGAAACAGCCGTTCAGTACTCCAATGCTGGTTTTCAATGGTTTTCTAAATTATATCAATCCATGATCAACTCGTGAAATACTTCAGGTTTTTATTTTACATGTACATCCTGTATGAGGAGGAAGTATTTTGGAATTAAATAGGCTGAAAATTTCTGAGCTATATGTTCACATATTATCTGAAATAAATGAAGTTTCATTATTATGAGAATAGGATGAAATGGAGGTACATTACTAGTCACCTTTCAATAATTCTCCAGTTGATATGATCTCCTAGAAATTAAGCCAACTACCCGAATTGTTTGGGTAATATGAATTCGCGTGTTTTCTAAGTACACGTCAAACGAAATAACTGGAATCGATAAAAACAAGAGACAGTGTCAAAAGTGAGCATGAAACATTTTCCTGCTTTATTAGCATATGACTGCTTATGACTGTTACCATTGTGGTAACATATCAATATCTACAATGCTATCCTGGCGCTTTCCTATATAAGCTACAAGATCCGACCACTCTAAAACCATCTATGATATTCTGATCATCAATATCAAGATTTATCTGGTGACATCTACTGTGTGGAATCCTACTAATAATAACTGCTGAGTATTTAAAAATGTTTCTTATGCTGAATAACTGCAATTCATGTTTCTTGACTAGTTTTTACCTCATCTTTAACACAATACTCTAAAAATAACTGTGATGTTTACAGACTACATTTAATTCACTGAAGTGGTTTAGGAATTATGACATAGGTAGTATATATATGAACATTTCTATATTCTTCTAACAAAATTCTCACAAGAAATGGACAAGCACTACTTATTGGCGGGCGTTTAAAGATACTACCAGTAAGACTACTATCTGGGTCAGTATTTAAAACAACAAGAATAAAACAAGTGCTTTCTGTTCACAAAATGAACCTGTTAGCCTAGAAGTGGAAACCTATAACCCGTATATTATTATTATTCCCTTGGGTTCCTAGTCCTGTTCTCTAAAGACCACTTTAACTGGCTTCACGATTACCCAACCTTCCCTTCTTTTCTGGACTTACTACTGGTTAGTGAACTATGACAGATGTTAGAGGAACCATAATTACTAGAGGTGGTGATCACTCTGCCAGTGAACCATTGACTCAGTATCAACCGTGTACAGATGACTAATAGTCTGGTAATCAAATGGTTTGTAAGAAAATAAGTCAGGTACCTGATTTTCTCTAAAATATTATGAATTTGACCTCCTAAAATCTGAGAATTAAAACCTGAGGCAATGAAAATTGCTTCAAGTTATCAGTTTAACTTCCAATTACTTGAAGGCGCTTGCTTATTCATTCTCAACTTACTAGTGTGCTCACACTACTTGAGGAGTCAAATCAAAACTTCATCATCTCGTATTTTCATGACATCATTTATTTGGGATAGAGCCGGTGAATAAACTACTATTGTCTACAAGACTTATGAATAAATCTTACTAAAAGTCAGAAAACTAGAAAGACGCATATACTGTACACTTGTTGTCATTGACATCAAAACTATTCTGATATAGTGCTTAAATTAAAATTATGACAAGTGTTTCAAGCATAATAACTCATAAATCAAAACCACTTATGAATACAACCTCACATATGATGAAAAAGCAATTTCAGTCAACTTTTCTCTTGCTGTAACTTTGCAGGAGGTCTAAAATTGATGAAAATCTCGTGTTTATGATTTAGCAACTAACATACAGCAAGAATAGAATATAAAACCATTGAATGAAGTTATTTTGCTCAACCAGTGACTAGGCAAATTTATCTTAACAGTGACAATGCTAACCTTTTAATGTTAGTGAAGTAAACAGAAAAAACAACAAGAATTTTTATTGTCCGGTATTCGGTTGGTAGTGAACAAAATTTGCCTTTCAAGAAAGTTAATTGTTAAATCTGCTGTAACTCCGAAACGACCTGAAACACTGCCTATCTACACACAAAAGAAAGTTAAGTTAGAAGTAGGTGTCGATCGAAGAATTTCAAAAAGTGTATAGAAATGGGAACAATGTAATCGATTCAAAGAATCATCAGAGGAAGATTTTGGCAATTTTAGTCTTTTTATTCACAAGTCTTTTGGTAACAACTCAGTTTACAGGATGCATTTCATGCTCTTTGAAACGCTTAGGATAGATGTACGTCTGAGTGACAGCATTGCCGTGAAACATTCGGAATTATAAGCCCTCCCTAACCACAGTGTACAATTATTGTAGCCATATTATCGTAATAGCGTAAGTCAAATGTCATTCTGACGAGCAATGAACAGCTTGTACATTTTAATTTGATTGAAAAGAGTCATACTACTTAATTATAGTAAGTACAATATGTATTAAACAAAAATATTTTACAAGGAACTGATAGCACAGATTCAACAACACATCACCATTTTCTTCTATTTTCTGCCGTCCTCTTCAGCTGGGCGCACGATTGCCAATAATCTTTCATCTCCTCCGACTCGTACGATCTCCTCCATGTCCCCGTTAGGCGCCTCACTTGTCGTTTCTTATTTGTCTTCTACTCGAGCGGTGGCCTGACGCGCGGTGTCACTCGACGGTCTCCTATGTGTGCGACCAATCCAATTTTAACTGCCCTTATATATATTTGCTGGATCATAAGTGCTTGCTCAATTTGTTCCAATAGTTTCCTGTTGCTGTTCTCTTTGGTCAATTGTACTTCAATATAGCGCAAAGGCAGCTGTCTATAACAGTCTGTAACATGTTGAAAATGCCATTCCTAACAACCCACATAGAAGAACTGACTTCCTATTTTTGTTGAAAATCCGAATCTTGTTGTTCATGCTGAGTATAGTAGATTTCCATACTAATTGCAGAGTGATGAAAGTCTATCCTGCCTTTCGGATCCTGGGTGGCTCTGACATTCTCATCCGTGCCGCCTGTAGTTCAAGTAATGCTACCTAGATAAGTGAAAGAAGTGACCTCCTTCAGTTTCCTCTCGTTGACAGTGACTGATGCTTGGTGGTGCTGTTGTTGGTGCGTGGGCGTCTCGATCACTTCCATCTTCTCTACGTTCCCTTGAACTCCTGCTTTTCTGACTTCCTTTTCTGATAACTTAGTGGTTTTCGCCTGCAAGTCTTCGTGTTTGCTTGACATTAAACATAAATCATCCACGTGTGAAATCCAGATCTTCTGCAGACTTTTTGTCACTCCAATATATTCCTACCTTCTTGCTAACTAGGGTTTACTGAATAATCCAGTTCACCACAATTAGGAATATCATCTTGAGTGATGACAGACAGCCAGCCTTGTTTTACTCCTGTATTCACGCCGCGCGCCTCACTGAGTTTTCCGTTTTGGATCGCCTGACATGTGACACTGTCACATAACCAGAAGTTGAGTGAGGTTGATAAAGATTCCTGCACTGTACATCATGATGTTGAAGTAGTTTCCAAATTACTCTGAGGTCAACGCTGTCTGTCGAAGGCCTTCATAAAATCGATGAAGTTGTGGTAGAGATTTGACCGTTATTCTATGCTTTCGTTTGATGATGATGATGATGTATAGAGTAAGTATTTGATTTGGGACTGAATTATGCGCTGAGGATTTTACCTAGTAGGGACATGAAAGCTTCACACCTAAACCATCTAGTCAAGAGAATACAACTACTTCGAGGAGTGAGTTTTAATTTGATCCGCACATGATTTTCTTTTCTTGAATCCAGCTTGTTCCAGTGGGATGGAGTTTCGTGTTCAGTATGTCTTTTATTCTCTCCAGGATTATGGGACTTAATTTTTTGCCTGTCGTGGACAGGAACACGACTCCGCGTTAGTTCTTATTGAGGCCCAATTTCTATTTTTTGGTAGCTTGCCATGGTAACCAGACTTTTTTCCAGTCGGTAGTCACCTTTCCGTCTTTCTAAACCTTTTGCAATAATGGCTTGAGAACATCTGCCACAGTCTCTGGATCCATTTTCAGTGCTTCGGGAGGGAATCCATCTGGCACTACTGCCTTCCCGGACTTCATTGGCTTGAGTGCACACAAGATTGCCGCTTTTACTGGCGGACTGGTGTCAGCTGGCAGGCAGTTCCTTGCGTGCTGATGGTATTTCTGGACGAGTTGCAGGTGATGATCGATTTAAGAGTCCTTTGAAGTGATCAGCCCATTATTTTATTCGTTTCTCCTCCTTGGTAATTAGACTCCCTTCAATATTTTTATTGGTTTCATCGTCTGGGTCGATCTCTTCCGGTATGGAGATCTGGTTATCTTGTATAATGTTCTGAGGTCTCTTCTACCTGAGGCCAGCCAGTTCTGCTTCAGTTGCCGACCAGTGCGTCTTAAAATTGTCTTTTGTTTTTCTTAGCACTCTTCTTCCTTGATTCAGTGCTGTGAATTGAATTCAGCTTCTCCTTCTGTTGTCCATCTTTGCATTGAGTCATCTTCTCTTTCACCATCCTCCTCTCATTTATTAAATTCCAAGTATCCATTGAGAGCCATTCCTTGTCTTGTCTCTTCTTGCTTCGTAGAACAGTTGTACACGTTCTTTGAACATTACCTTCAGAGAGTTCCGGTGTTCCTCCATGAAGGTTTCTTCAGTGATAGCAAGTAGTGTCTCCGACTTTGCTCTGATCTAATCTGTAGTGAAGATGGCCATCCCTTGTAGTTTCATCCTTCAGTTTCTGAAAGTTACATTTGAGTTTGAACTTGCCTTCAGTCGTTTTAGGGATTTCAGCTTCACCTCAAAGGTTACTTAAACTAGATGATGGTCTGAGCCCACATCTGCCCCCTTCTCTACCTTGTATCCAGCAGGCTGTGTCTCGACTTCCTTGAGATTGAAATGAAATCTGTCTGGTTTGTGGCATGTCTATCGGACGAAATCCATGTTGCTTTGTGTATATTCTTGTGTTCGTACACGGTGCCTCCGATCAACAAATCATTGAAAGCGTTGAAGTCTGTGAAGAGTTCTCCATTCGCATTCACTTCGCTCAGAACCTCTCGACTCATGACGAGTTCTCTAACCGTGTTGTCTGTTCCCAGTTTTGCTTGCATTCATATCGCCCATAGGGATTTTGATGTCACTATTTCGGATGTTGTCCAATACTGTTTGCAGATATCTATAAATACCTTCCTTCCCCTATTGTTCCGCTACGCTTGTGGGTACGTAACATTGAATGATTGTAGCTTTCCTTTCTTTGGAGTTGGATGTTGCTGTCATATTCCTGAAGGAGGAGATTGGTTCCCACTGTATTAGAGCTTTGGTTGCCACTAGTGACATCATGATAGCCAGTCATTGCCTCAGTGTACTCGTGGTTGTCGTCTGAGTGACCAGACCGGAGTAGATCACTGACTCTCCAGCTGACAGCCGTGAATGCTCACATCCATGCCATATGATCTCGCAGATTCCGAGCACTTTAATGCCATGTCTTCTCATTTCGTTGGCTACCTGTACAGCCTTCTCAGTCTCGTGCATTGTTTGGACATTACACGTCCCCATTCCTACTCTTGCTTTCATCTAGTGAAGATACATAGGTTGGATGACTGGCTTACAGAAGTCTTTCACAAGCCTGCTTTGTCATTTCGCCCCTCTGATTCCAGCAAAGAATAAGATTGCTTTATATATTTTTTGTATTTTTAATATATTTCCTGTGCGTCGAAGTTTCTGTAGCAATTTGATTGGCTTTGTAGTATAGGGTCGCTATCCCCACGTCCACCCCACCCTCTTTTCTCGGGCTTGAGACCAGCTAGAAAACTAACGGGCTAGTAAACTAGGCGAGGTTTTGTATCACAGAAGGCAATCGAAAACTATCCCTTGAGTGTAAGAGGATTGCCTGGTGGTTTCAGGTGGAAAATTCAGAATGGAAAGCAAGCTCAATCAACTATCACCATGATGCAGTATCTGGATTAACGACTGCTTTTTTACTGATGTAGAAACACAGTTACATAAGTATATACATACATCTTATAAATATCTTTTTTCATTCCTTTTAAGTTTACCAAAAACATGAATCCAAAAATATACCTTCATTGTCTGGTTTAGTCCCTCTGGCATGAATTAATCCATAAAGGTCTTCACGTACTAATTCTAGTTCATTCTGAAGTTTTACAGCATGATTATCATAACGTGAAAATACAGCCTGAGAGAAAACAAAAGAAAATATTCACATTACTATCAAATAATTAGCAAACCAAACTGATTGAAATGTAATTGTGACGAAATAACTGATTGGAAAATTCATACTGAACCATCTGTTTGCAGTAATAAAACTCATTTGAATATTTCAACCACCTTTGTAATTATCATCCTTTTTCCTTTAGGTTGTATATAATTGTCCTAAAGCTTGCATACCACCTGTTGACGTAATCTTCATTATTTGTCTTTATTTTTGTTTAACCTCTGATTTTAGTGTTTCTTTTTGTGGTCGTGTGACAGTGTTGATAATGTGTTGTTTTACGACTGCGATTTTGTTTGAGTCAAGTCAAGATTATTTCATGGGAGTTTGCCTCTGGACTGTCAAGGGGAAGTGTTTGATGTATGATTTTTGATGATGGAGTTTCGATCCCATGTTTTTGGGATTATTTTTAAAAAAAGAAAACAAAGGGCGGGAAAAAATCGTTTTTTAAAGGGAAACAAAACGTATTTTTATATATATATTTCCTGCACATTATTATAGTTTATTCAAGTAGACAAACGCAGTCTTCTGATTGGTTGTTTCGGGTAACCTCGGAAAATGGAGCCATCTATCTGCGAATCATATTTGCCCACGTTAAGTCTGCTGTGATTGGTTGTTGAATCAGCCTTGCTCATATTTTCTCACGGCCAATATTAGTGACCTAGACATTGACGTAGATTAATGTCTACCGATTGGCTAGCAGCCTGCTCTCACCACAATTTTACTTGGTCCTCAGGTACTTTTCTTAGGTTGATTGTTGGTTAACTAGTTTTGTTATGCAGTGCTCAATTTGTAAATGAGAAATTCTTGAAGTGCATAGCTGCCTGATGGTGGCATCATCATTAGCAATAACGTCTTCAAAATGTCTTAATGGTAGCTGGTTAAGGAAATGTTCACAATAAAATGACAAAGTTCGATTAACTTATTTATTATTCATCTGTAGACTGAATTTCTCGCTAACCTCAAAAGCAAATAATCTAAATTGGCGGAAAAAAATTAATCTGTGATATTGAGAACTTTGAAACGATATCCTTAATAACGACACTATACTTTGGCTTCATTTAATTAGATTCAGTCTCTTGATAAAACATCTTGGTAAGTATGCTTGAATCAGTATTATTATTGTTCCCTTGGGTTCCTAGTGGAACATAGGCCTTCAACTGCACGTCTCCACTTGCTTCTGTCTTCTGCTGTGCTTTTCACCTGCATCCATGTTAGTCCATACTGTTTCAACTCCTCTTCACATGATCTCCTCTATGTCACCCTTGGACGTCCCACACGCCGCTTCCCTTTCGGGTTCCACTCGAGGGCTTGACGCGCGATGTCACCCAGCGGTCTCCTCAGCGAGTGACCGACCCATCCACACTTTCTCCTGCATATTTGTTGGGCGATTGGTTCTTGTTTTGTTTGTTCCCATAGTTTCTTGTTGGTGATTCTTTCCAACCTGGTCATCTAATCTTCAGTATACATCCAGCGAAGACAACTGTTAATAAAGATCTGGTCTGCAATAGCCTGTTGGAAATATTCTTTGTGACCCGCCCACCAAGTTTCTGATCTGTATAGAAGAGCTGACTGACTTGACGTTTGTATTGAAAATCCGACTGGATTTTGTTGTTGATGCTGAGTGACGAAGATTTCCAGATTGCTTTCAGGTTGATGAATGTGTTTCTCGCCTTCCCGATTCTCGCTCGATTTGATATCCTGGTCCGTTCCGACATCCTGTAGTTGAGACAATGCTCCCTAGATAAGTGAATGAATGAATTAACCTCTTTCAAATCCCTCCCATTGATGGTGATTGGCACTGGATGTTGGTGCTGTTGTAGTAGTTGTTGTTGGTTGGTTATTTTCATAACCTCCGCCTTGTGTATGTTCACGTGGAGTCCTGTCTTTGCTGCTTATTCGACCAATTTGTCGGTCGGTTTTCGCTTGTAACTCTTCAATTTTGTGTGACATCAAACATAAATCATCCACGCGCGAAATCCAGATCTTCTAGTTTCTTCACGTCGGTTCAGGATATCCCTGTCTTCTCGTTTCCCACTGTCTGACGCATAATCCAGTCCACCACAATTAGCAATATCATTGGTGATAATTGACAAGCAGCCTTGCCTGACTCCTATGTTTACTCCAAACGCTTCGCTGAGTTTTCCGTTGTGTGAATCAGTAGTATGCAGTAATTTCATTTTCTCATTTGGAGCTTGTTAACAGTTGATATCACCCAGGGGAACTGAACCAACATAGGATAAAGAGCTACTGCATTTTGCCAGGAGAGTAGCATTAAATGGAAAGGATAGAAAGAGAATGAAGTAATATAATCCTAAATAATAGAAAGCAGTAACAGTGAAGACAAAGCATAAATACGTATAATGTGCTATAATCTACTCCAAGGTATGTCACTAACAGACTCTAAGACTGGGTTCTGATATTTACATGAACCCACATCAGGAAAGCTTTACTTCCCCACATGGTTTGGTGAGTTATTTTGGTCTGACTTTCCCTTATCTTCTTCTAATATGATTTTACTTCCCTTAAAATCTCTATTTCAGACATGAACAGTGGCTATTTAAGCAACCTAATTGAATAGTCCTACCTATAAACCTCAATGGCTAAACCTTACCCTCTCCAGGCGATGCTCCCACCTAAAACCTGTAATACTCTGAAGACCACTGGAGTCAAATACCTATAGTCACTGTTAACCTTCCACCTTTTATAACCATATACATAGCCATAAACAGAACAATGGCGCACTACTGTTCAGCATATTCAATCTATGTTAGACGGTTGGATACCACACTGACGTCATGAGTGAAAACACAGAGATTTTTCGACATCCGTGCTCAGATTTTATCGATCATTTAGCTTGTCAAGACATACAACACCGACACATTTACTCACTCCCTTTCCTTTAGTTAGATGGACTCGTGATACAGACCAACGCTGAAGTAACCATGTACATATAGAAGGTGAAAAACACACCGGAAACTTTTTCACATTGTGACTTTAAGTCCTCGGGAAACTTTGCATCTTCTGACAGTCTTTATCGAACGGGACATTGTTCTTTTCATATTCTATGTCAACGAGAAGATCAAAAACTTTCATTCTCAAAAGCTATACAGTCATATTTTTACACCGATATCAATATTATTACCTCCTATCATCTTCCTTACTTACTACGCTGAATTAAATAACAAATGTAACCATATAAACTTATGCATGAAAATGTGACTGTACAGATTCTGATGATGAGATTGTCATGAATTCCTTTGCTGAGTTTCCTGTTTTTTTTACTCTCTAATGTCCTGATGGATAGTTGGTATTAGAGGCAATCGGCAGGAAGCCTTCCAACTAGGTTTCGTGCTAGCTGGCACTCACCAGTCAGCAAGGCGTATCTGCAACCTTGAAGGAGTTCATGTCCCTTCTGAGATTAGAACTCGCGTCACCCAATGAGTTCCGCAGTCAGAGACGTTACCACTAAGCTATTCGGACTTGGTATTGACCTCCTGTAGGATTGTATTGGGTATTTTTTGATTGCACACTAATCAGTAACTAGTGTAATGTGTCTTATCCTATCTTCGGTGCAGACTGAATTCCATCAGTCAAGCTTGCAATGTGGCCACCATGCTAAGTGGCTTGCCATCACGGTGCACTGGGAGTTGTTGGTATTAGATGGTCGGATGCGATTGGCAGGAATCCTTGGACCTAGGATTCGTTCCGATGTATATTTCTCATGATTTGAAATAGAAATTATCGCAAATGTACGTACTACAAAGTTTGATTATAGTGGAAAGAGTTGACATCCTTACTACTCAAGAAATAATCAAAATTTATCCAGTCTATAAAGTTGTAAAGTATTGTTTGAGACAGATAAGACAACTAAAGATATGGGAATAACGCAAATTGTATTACTATTTAAAATAAACGTTTATTAATTTCAACTTGTTTAGATAGTCAGGCATAAAGAGATGAAACGATGAAGGATTTGCTCACAAAAAAAAGGCTGAGAAACATCACCGTTCACTCTTGTAGATAGATACAGAGATGCGATATATGAATTAGAATAACGCAAGTCCTTATAAACCCAATTAATTTGTTTTCTGGTGTTTCGGGATAATTTCACAGCTTCTAAAGGAATTCCATCCGTTGTCTTGAAATATGTCTGTATGAAACAGAACTTCAATCATTGCATAAAATTTCCCCATGTTATGAACATATCTGAATGCTAACATTTTTGCAATAAACCAAATCTTTTTATGGAAATGTTATTCCTTACATCCTCTGAGCAACATCTGGGGTGTTTATGTGTAAGTACAGGTTGCAAAAGGATCATTAACAACCTAACGAAACGCTCTACTTAATCTAGTTCAGAACGACAGTAAGAAAGTCTGTAAACTTGTTGGAATCATATTGATGATAATGGAAAATGTCATCTTGATTATCATTATTGTTTAAAGACGAAAGTTGTGCTTAAAATCGTCGAAGTATGCATAATAGCATATTGACAAAATCAAGTAAATGGGTGATTATTTTCTGAAATTAGCATTCTACAACATGCTGAGCGCAAATTACTTCCTAAGAAGCATTTCTCCGAAGAGATGTTTACATGATATTATAAACGTTTTTTAAACTATCTAAACAACAGTTAGATAGTTTATCACGTTGAAGATACTTTCAGATGTCCTTGAGTATAACCCATATGGAGAGCGACGAGTCGGGCGTCGATGAGTAACATGTAGTTCCACTCGGAAAGCGAGTAACGAACAATAATAATACTATTAGTAATAATACCCTACACTAATACATATACATATACAGATTGATGACAACGTAAAGTGTTATCTTAATTAATATTGCATGTGGGATTTCACCATGAGCTGACATCAGTTAGGGAACCACTGGAAAACCTGGGAGAACTGGACAGTTGTTTCGTCCTAGTTTGGGACTTCTCACCAGTACGCAACCACTGGGATTCGAACCCAGGACCTTCTGGTCACAAGGCGAGCTCGTATACCATTGAGCCTCTGGGATCCGATCCACTGGTCCTTGAATTCTAACTTCTGCCAATTCATGACATGGCGTGACCACTTCGCAATGTCTTCTTCGATGAGTTACTGCCTCATCTTCAACCTGCTGTACCCTACTGGTCACGGCTTCCCACTAGAACCCCAGGTTAACTGCCTGAATAGGGCCAGTCACTAGTGAGCACAGATTAATTTTCAAGTATTGGTTTTATAGGGATTTTGTTTGATTGCATGGAGGATTTCACCATGAGCTGACATCAGCTAGAAATCCTCCATGCAATCAAACAAAATCCTTACAAAACCAATACTTGAAAATTAATTATTATTGTTTAAAGACAAAAGTCATGCTTAAAATCCTCAGTGTCAGTAGTAGCTTTTGATGTGAACTATTCGAAATAAATAACAAAGAAACTGTATATAGCCTACTGACAGAATCAAGAAAATCGATGACTATTTTCTGAAATTAACATTCTACAACATGCTGAGCGCAAATCACTTCCTGAGACACATTTCTCCAAAAAATAGTTTACACGATCTTATAGAAAGAATGATGTTTTAAGCTATTAAAACACTTGTTAGATAGTTTATTACATTGGGAATGCCTTCAGGTGCCCTTCAGTGGGACCCAAATCCAGAATGACGGAACAAATGTCGAAGAGTAACATGCGGAAAGTTATGTGAAAGGGAAATGAAAGACTTTGAGCAGTCTTTTGAGCAAGTTGAAAGGGATGATAGAAGTCCTAGTAAAAAAGTAGACGTATCGCTGAACTCCTATGAATAATCATCATAATACCCTACACTAATCCATATTAAAAGTCAATCTGAACGAAGAATATTCTTTTCAATAATTTCTCCCCTTCAGGTTCTTACAATTATAAAATAAAATACTTGTGGTCGTTACAATAAAGGCCAGTTATACGGCGGTGGATACATTTTTAGCGTAGAATAACAGATTAGTGTTATGGGGTGTCAAAATAAATAGTCGTATTTGAGTGTGACAAACATGCTAGTTGGCTGAAATCGATTAGAAAATATTGTAAAATGGGATAGAATGATGGTGATTAATCATAATAGAATTGTAGAGTGTGGAGTAGGAAAATTGACAAATCAGTTCAAGGTTATAAAAGGTGTCAGGCGAGTGGCTAGTACAAAGTGGTCTGTCTTAAACAGGGGATAGTAAGACTGAAATGAGAGGTTCATAATGAGATAACGAATATGTTGAATGAAACAAGTGAAGGCATATATTGAGAAAACAGATAATATCACTAATAATAAGTCCGTATAACTGAAAAGTTCAATAGTATTGAGGGAATGTTTGCATAAAGGGCATAAATTATGACGAATAATAATAACTGTAATAATAATATTTATAATAATAAGCAAAGTTAAAAAACAACCAAAAAACCAAGAGAGTTAAGGGGAAGGAGCACTCTCGGTGAGAAGAAAAATCTTCAATCCAAGGTTGGCCACGGTAGGAACAGCGTCTGGACGTGTTCGTTTTGGATAAAATGTTCCGATTTAGTCGATCTTATTGCAACACCTTAAGCTATGTGTAGGAGACGTAAGCGAACTATACGTGATAACGACTTCGGAATTCGGTATGTAACCCTGAAAGCTGTGTTGACATCGATACGATGTCCAGTATCGACCAGGTGTGACAGGATCGAGCTTTTTATGCACTTAATTTTCCCCTTCCTGAACCAAGCTGGTAAGTGTTCTCGAACCCGTAGACGAACCTGCCTAATCGTGCGCCCTATATAACTTGAACCACAGGAACAGTTGAAATGGTATATGCATGAAGAAGAGCTAAGGTTAGGTAAGACATCTTTGAGTTGCTGGGTGAACATTGAACGGCTAGTGAAGGATAGACACAGACGTGCAGAGTGGAAAGTTTTCTTGATCGCCCTGGTTAAAAGTTGCGATAGAATCTCTGCAGGAGTATCTCCCTTGAATTGGAGACGTAAAAACAGTCTTTTTCTCCACAGTTGCCAGTTCATGTTTACGACTATGGTAACCTATGTTGGCTTTAATGAACTTCTCTGGATATCCATTCTCGCTTAGAATATCTCGGATGATCTGGAGTTCTTTCTCTATGCACTCTTCAGAACAAATAGACCTTGCTTTAAATGCTAAGCCCCTGATTAGATTACGTTTGTATTTCATCGGTACGAAGCTAAGGAAATGTGTATACTGAGCTTTGGTCTCTAGCTTTCTAAATATGGTTCTTTTGATAGAACCATCCTCTCTTTTTGTTAGTAGGATGTCGAGCAAGTGTAGAGAGTCATTGTATTCTCCTTCGTAGGTGAAATGGACCGCTGGGTGAGCATTATTGTAGTTGTTCAAAATCAAATCACTATTTAACCCTTCATCGCACATTACAAAAGTGTCATTCATGTATAACCTTGAACTGATTTGTCAATTTTCCTACTCCACACTCTACAATTCTATTATGATTAATCACCATCATTCTATCCCATTTTACAATATTTTCTAATCGATTTCAGCCAACTAGCATGTTTGTCACACTCAAATACGACTATTTATTTTGACACCCCATAACACTAATCTGTTATTCTACGCTAAAAATGTATCCGCCGCCGTATAACTGGCCTTTATTGTAACGACCACAAGTATTTTATTTTATAATTGTAAGAACCTGAAGGGGAGAAATTATTGAAAAGAATATTCTTCGTTCAAATTGACTTTTAATTCATGAGATATAGGAATATTTCACACAATCAAAACTAATACATATATCAAAAAATATTACAGATGTTAAACAATTAACGTATTAAACGAACCTTTAAATTCTCAAGTTCTTTTGTTACATCATGTAATTCCAGATCATCTTCATCATCATACAGTGAAATATATGTTGACTGATGCATACTTATCACTCTGATAGCTGAAAAATATATTATTCACAGTTCATGAAAGAATGGACATGACTATCTTTAAAATTATTGATCACTGTCAACTAATCAATTTTCAGTAAGACAAAGAATGTATTTGTACAAATTTCTTCTAGACACACACATATTCTGTTTATTTAGTTGGATTAAAATAGTTTCTGATGCATGTAAAAAGAAAAATCGTTCAAGGCAATTATGAATAATTGATGTGCGACAGATAAATCAAAACGTTTTGTTTACAGGATTTCATCATGAGCTGATATTGGTCAGAGAATCATTGGAAAACCTGGGAGTACTGGACTACTGTTTCGTCGTAGTTTGGGACTCTTCCACAGTACGCACCCACCGACAGGGTTCGAACCCAGGACCTTCTGGTTACAAGGCTAACGATCTCGTATACCACTGAGCCACTGGGACCCGATCCAATGACCAGCGCATGAATTCTAACTTCTGCCAATTCACGATATAGCGAAATCGCTAGCCAATGTCTTCGGCGAGTACTTGTCCTCACACCCGACCTGCTGCATCCTACTGGTCATGACTTCAAAACGTTTTGTTAATGTCAATTATGTGCTCAGCACCAACAAGATGATCAACGGGAGAGATTTGAAAGGGGTTACTTCCTTCACTTACCTGGCTAGGAAGCACGGTTTCAAAAACACAGGCCGGTAGGACGGATGAAGATGTCACCAGCCGGCCAGAATCAGAAAGGTAAGCTACTCCTTCATTAATATGAAGCATTTTGCACTGCGCAGCATAGAGAACAAGATTCAGATTTTCAACACAGATGTCGAGTCAGTCAGAAACTTGCACTGCGTGTCATGGAAACGATTTCAGACTTTTATCAAGAGCTGCCAACTTCACCGGCTCCATACTGAAGATCAAATGGCCGGCCGGCCAGCCAGCCAACCAAAAAGAATTAGCAATAAGAAACTCTGGCTGGGAACAAACCAACAGACGAGAGCCGTTTGTTTAACAAATATAAAGGAGAAAATGAAGATGGATCGGGCATGCATTGAGGAAACCGCCGAATGACATCACGCTCAGTGCAGGCCATTGCTCGAGTGGAATCCTAATGGGAAAAGACGAGTGGGTCGTCAGTGTGAGGGTGACATGGAGAAGATCGTGCGAGTTGGAGGAGGAGATGAGAGATTAGAGGCGATCGTGTGGTCTTCCAGTTGGAGAGGAGAGGAGAGAGTAGAAGAAAGTGTAGACGTGTTCTTAAAGCCGTGATATATATATATAAGATTACGAAATCAAGATTTGGTGTATAGGAAGTCGAATGAAAAGGTGGTGACATAACGCAGTGAGTCGAATTCATAGAATTAAAAATTAAGTCCCACATGAAAGTCTATGGAGGTCGAAAATTATCAAATTATACACTCATTTTAAAATAGTAAAATTAATGAATTCACCGAACACCATGTTTTTTAATTGAGATTGAATAAGGACACGACCTGGTTCAGAGTGCAGTACGGACGACACAACTTCACTCTCCAGCTTCTTTCTTTCCACTATCGCCAATCATCTCGGGCTGGATTGTACCTGATCCCTACAGTCACATTCGGATCCTTGGCTTTAATCCCCTTTTCTCTCCGCAAGTACCCTCGGACGGACTGTTGGCATACTCTTAAGTGGAGTGAGAAACTGCATAATAGAAAGGACTACTTCATCACTACAATTCTGTACGTCTTTACTTGTGTATTTTGGAACAATTATAATTCACCAAGTAAGTGCATTTTATATGTATATTAATTTGTTTAGACTGAATTCCTCTCTATACACATATGTGCGTCGGTTGCACAGTGGTTAGGACTCTCGCCGACCATGCATATGGTCCGGGGTTCGAGCCCACGCCGACGCACACCTGATATCTATGGTCGGCCTGCGAAATTTGGGCTACCGATGTCCATGCTGAAAATTCCATACTTGTACAAAAAATACGGTATGGAATCAAGCCGTAATCAAAAATAAAAAAAAATAAAAAAATAAAATAAATGTTTGTATTTGTTTTGTCCTTTTTATTTGCGTATAAACGACCTTAGCTGTTTAGCCCACAATAAGTCAAGCTAGAAATGAGGGGTGTGAAGCAATATGATAAAATTAGAAGCCGAATGTTACTAGAGAGTTACCAAGGTAACTGAAATCACACAACGGATTTCTTTTGGTCATAGTTCAGATTTCAGTCATTTTATTGCCATAGATCCAGCAAACTGATTAAAACTTGGTCTGTTCTGTCTGTTAATTATTTCGAATGCTCCGAATGCATCCAGTCATTATCCTGTGTCTACCAGGAGTTTGATAACTGCTGAGTTCAAACTATTCACTCCATTTGATTTCGCGGGGAGCATAATTATACCTGCGTCGGCGGCACAGCGGTTAGGACGCTCGCCGACCATGCACATGGTCCCGGGTTCGAGCCCTCGTCGACGCACACCTGATATATATGGTCGGCCTGCGAATTTTGGGCTACCGATATCCAGGCTGAAAATTCCATACTTGTACCAAAAATACGGTGTGGAATCAAGCTGTAATCAAAAATAAAATAAAAATATTTTTACATTTTCCTTGCTGTATTTGTTGATAAAACTTTCGTGATGGCCATTTTCTTTCAAAAATTTTTCTAGTAACATAAGTTCACTGGTCAGTTTATCTGCTGAGCATATACGTTTTGCCTTACAGGACAATGTCTTCACTACCTTCCTCCTAAAGCCGACTGGGCAGAAATTTATGTAGAGACCACTCCTCATGTTCTTGACATAAACTGATCTCCTAAGTGTTTCATCTTTTCTTCTGTCAAACTTGACGTCCAGAAAATGAAAACTCCCCAACATCTTCGTGTCCCATAAGGAAAGTGATGATTTAGTGTACACTACTGAATAAGCAAAACAGATTAAATGCACGACTGAGAATAGTGCATTTAATGAACAAGTCATCTAAATATCTATGATAGGTTACTGTTTCATGGATTGCATATTTAAGAGTTGTTTAAACCTAAGCATAAAAATAACTGACAATACAGAACTCAACGTACCACCTGTAGTGGTAGGTAATTCCCTAAAATTATTGGCCACAGCATTCATCACTGAACATTGGATACTGACCCTCACTGTTTAAATCAACTCGTTTAGCTGGAGGCTTCCGGTCAAGCATCCACGCGATTTGGCACGCTGTCATGTTACGTTTGTTCGTTAGTGCACGATCCCTAGCTAGTTAAGCAATCATCTCGCACTCTAATTCGTTCCCGAAACATAATTCGTAATTTAGACGATCAGTCCTGGTGTTTTGCTTTGCCTTTGATCCACATGGAACGAATACTACAGAAGAAGCTGTGGGTATTAGATCTTGCGTTAGTATACTTCGTACTATCCGTGAACGTCAATACCTTTAGCCACTAAACTGGTTAGCCCTACCTTGAACTTCATCTTTGGTAAATACACAGACAAATCCGGTGAGTTCGTTGCATTTTGTATTTGTTCTTGTACTATTTTTAAACTATATATGTTTCGTCATGAGTGGTCGTACTCCTAAGGTCATCCGTATTCGATCAACCACCAAAACTTCAGCTCGTGCGATTTTGGCTAGATAATGTGGAATCATGGCTTCGGATAGTCAAGTTTGCTTTCAGTTAAAATGTGATCACTGACCAACGTTCATAGTCCCTTGCAGTTGTCCACGCCCAACCACGGGAATTAAGCAAATGCGTAACTGTGTATATGTCGAGAGGTAAGTAGCGCGTATGAGTTGCTTAAAGCAACCCTCTTAAAGAGAAACAACTTCATGGATCGGCGACGTCTTGATGAACTATTTCGCAGTGTGGATTTAGGTGATCAGTCGGCTGTGAGCATGCTAACAAGAATGAGGGAAGTTACTGACCAATGTCAGTTCGATGAGGGACTTTTCAGAGGACTGTTCTTATCCAAACTGCCACAGTCAGTACAGGCTATGTTGGTGACACTTCAAGGTGTTATTATAGATAAATTAGCTACCTCCGCCCATAAAATTCTAGAAATAAGAAAATGGCCAGCCACTGAAATATGCTCAATTGCTGAACAGACTTCGAGTTGGGACACTGCAGTTGTAGAGTTATGCAACTCTGTCCAGCATCCACTTAAGTCAAATAATCCCTATAATTGCTCGTATCGTTGTCCGAACTCCCCTCAACGGTGAAACCCACGTGGTCGGTCTAAATCCAAGCCACATTCACTTAAAACCCTGACTGGTGTTGGTTTCACAGTACCTATGACCAGGAAGCACAATATCACAGAAAACCTTGTAATTCTGGCAGTGTCTGGAAGACTATGGGAAACTATCTCACCGGCAAACCTTCGCGGCAACCATCAAATGTGGCACTAGTCGCCTACTTTACATTCGTGATGTGGTCAATCAGATTCGGTACTTAGTCGACACAAGCGCCGAAGTCAGCGTCCTTCCTGCTACAGCAGCAGATCGACAGAAGGAACCTGTCTCCAACTTACACGCTACGAATGGAAAACCTATTGCAACCTTTGGTAGGAAATACCTCTATCCGAACGTAGATTTACGTAAACCCATTTAGTAGATTTTCCTTCTTGCTGACTTCACAATGCCCATCATTGGTACAGACCTATGTAATCATCATGATTTACTCGTAGACGTCTGCCAAAAATGACTGATAGAGAGTACTGCTAGACTGTCTATTAAAAGCATCGCCTAGGTAGGCCATAGCTTGTCATTCGCTAAGAAGAAGAAAGTCTTTGATTCAACTTCCAAGCCGATCGTTGATAAGTGCCCGGAACTTGACTGCCCGTCTAACGATCTACCGCGCATAACCAGCAATGTTATGCATCAGATCACAACCTCAGGACAACCTGTGACATCTAAAAAATAACGACCTGCTCCTGACAAACTACGACTCACTATAAATGAATTCAACTACATACTCAACCGTGGCATCATACGGCCATCGAATAGTCCATGGGTATCTTCACTGCATATGGCACCGAAAAAAAGATAGCAACGATTGGAGACGCACTGATGATTA